ACGGTATTTTACAGTAAAATTACAATAAATGTACCATATCACAGTTATTTACCGTATATAGTAAGGAAACTTTCTGTTTACCAATTAACAGTTTTTCACTGTAGCATTTTTATGTGATTTTAGTCTTTTACCTTTAAAATCACGATCATTTTTTACAGTGACATGTTCCTGGATCAACATTCCAATCAACCAATCAGATTTGAGGGACAAGTTTACAGTTTATGTCAAGTTTAGGTATACAACCAGGGTTAGGTGCTTCTACATCAGTGTTATTCATCGATCATGTCCCTCTGATTTTAGGGATAAGTTACAGGTTGGGATAGGTTTGGGGTCAAGACTAAGTTTTTGGACAGGAATGTTGTTTTAAAAAGGTTTTATCACCTTGACCACTAGTTATTCTTTGCTAATATTTACAAATATGCCAGCTTCTCTTGGGTTATTAAAAATGGCAGAATACAATGAATTGTATGGTTGGAGATGGAGATTGAGAAATAAAACGTTAACTGAACAGAACCAGAGAGCTGTAACCTATGGAAGCTTGTTTCCGCCACTGAATAAAAAAATAAAGTAAATAATTGCGACTTTTTATCTCACAATTCTGACTTTTTTTCTCACAATTGCGAGATAAAAAGTCAGAATTGCGTGATATAAAGTCGCAATTGCGAGTTATAAAGTCAGAATTGCGAGATATAAAGTCAGAATTGCGTGATATAAAGTCAGAATTGCGAGTTATAAAGTCAGAATTGCGAGATATAAAGTCGCAATTGCGTGTTATAAAGTCAGAAATGCATGATATAAAGTCAGAATTGTGAGATTTAAACTAATAAGTCGCAATTGCGAGTTTATATCTCACAATTCTGAGAAAAGATGTCAGAATTTCGACATATAAACTCAATTATGTGTTATAAAGTCACACTTCTGTCTTTTTTTCTCAGAATTGCGACTTTATATCACGCAATTCTGACTTTATATCTCGCAATTCTGACTTTATATCTCGCTATTCTGACTTTAAAACACAGAATTCTGACTTTACAACTCACAATTGCGACTTTATATCACGCAATTCTGAGAAATAAAGTCAGAATTGTGAGATATAAACTCGCAATTGTGAGAAAAAAAGTCAGAATTGTGAGATAAAAAGTCACAATTATTTATTATATTTTTTTATTCAGTGGCGGAAACAAGCTTCCATAATAACCAGAGTCACACCTGTTTAAAGACTTTGTCTATGCACCAGAGACAATGAAATTCGAGATATCAGATCTTAACAAAGCACATCAAAAGTTCACAGCCAATTATAAAATTGCATCTTTCCTGAAGCTCAATCCCATCCGGAGGTGTTCGAAACCCCTTTCAGTTGTGGTGTGATTGCTTATGTGTCTGAATGCTTTCAAACTACACTAAAGACATATGTATCAACCAGTTACCTTTGCTGGGTTTAAACCATAGGCTGTAAAAAAAACAGGACTTTAAAAATAGATTACAGTCTGATCTAAAAATGTGTAAAAGCACACATATGCACACAGAATACTTCTTCAATATGCCTAATCTCAGCGTACAGTACATGCAGGAATGCTTGCCTAAAATTACTGTTGTGAGATTAAAATTATAGTGCATTTGGGAGAAATTGCACTGATATAATCCTTTGAGACAACTCTTAATAGCGAGTGTAAACTGCACCTGAGAGATGGGTTGAGAGATCATATTTTTCCATTTGATTATAGTGCTGATGTAATGAAGGCCAGCCAGTGAAAGCTGTGCTGGTAAACCTCACTCTGATCTAAGAGGCGTGACTGACGCTAGACACTGATACATTTGAAACATACTTCAGGCATCATTGTGTCAAATGAGTAAAGCATTGTTAACACTAGTTAACTACATTTGTTGACACAAACTAATAATGAACAAATCTTTTACAGCATTTATTAATCTCGGTTAATGTTAATCTCAACATTTACTGATATATTTTTTCAGATCAAATGTTGTTTTTACGTAATTTTATGTTCAAACTTAAAATGTATGATTAAAGCGATACTTCAGGATTTAGCATTAAAGGTGCCATATGTAATAATTGGGGTAAAAATATCAAAAAAATTAGCTACACGCATCAAAAGAATGAGAATAAATAAGTGCAATGATGTAATTAAAAAACTGATAAGTTATAGTGCTGCCGAGATATTAACCTGAATTAGCATGCTAAATTACTAGCCCCGGCCCGGCAGGTGTCGTAATACCAGTTTCGGCCATGGGAGGCGGTATGCGGGCGGGCAACATTACCACCAGCCAAACTGCAATAGACGAGTAACTCGCACGGCTTGTGTGTGTACTTGAACCTGATGTCAGTCGTGTGGAAAATACAGCCCACTACTACATTTCAGTTCAGGGAAGAGTTCAAAAAATGATTGGTCGACATTATGCATGAGGAATACATTTTGGTAAGTTGTAGCATACTGTATCTTTCAACAGTGTTCGTGTTCTTTTTCCATTAACTAGTAGAGATGATCAGTTCACGTGCGCTAGGGATCTGTCGTGTTCATGTACAAGCGCCAAAACGGTATTTATTATTTGAATTGCGTAATAAAATTGACAGAATCTTAGAGCTTAACTAACCTGCTTGCTTGCTAAGTGTTCATTGCATGTGTCTCACAGTGAATTTGTGAGAGTTGGCAGCTCTGAATGGCGCTAGGTTGATCAACATCAGCGAATGCTGTCTGTCAAATTAATTCAAACTAACAATAAAAGTGTAATATGAACAAAACGAATACCATAAACTTCAAATAATAGCCCGTAGGCTTTTATTTTCCCATATCGTCTAAATGCACCAGCTTGTTCTTGAGACAGGCGTCTATGAGACGGTCTTCATCATTTAGTGTTGAGATGTTGTTCATTGAGTCTCTGATCTCTAGAAATCTCCAAATGCTCCATGTGAAACTGCAGTCTTCCGACCTTTTACTATTGTGTCAAATGATTTGAATAATATGCGGAGAAAGAGAGCAAAACAGCGCTCGCTTGTGTTGTTTGAAGACGTGCGAGTGTGCGCGGCCGCGGTACAACTCATTTTCTGGAGGTATACTGCCCCCATCTGTTATGGAATATGGAATGTTTTTTGATTTTTAGTTCCAGATGGCACCTTTAAGGTATTAGTAGAAAACCTGTAGTATTTTCAAATTATCGTGCTTTCCACCCTCATATCCCCCTGAGACGAGAGATTTATGTAGTTTTTTGTCTGGAAAAAATCCTCAGATGTCGCAAATATTCGTCATTTTTTGTCCAGAGGCTAAAGACTACAGTCAGTAGTAGGGTCTGTCCTGCATGTTCTCAACCCGCCCATAGAGGGCGATCTCACTCACAGAATGAACACATAGTGTCAGCCATCTTTTTTTGGAAGCTAAGCTAGCAGGCTCTTGTTCTGCAGAGAAAGTTGAGTAGTAGGGGTTACCGTCGATGTCTGGGATTCAGCTTTTGCCTTCTGCCGTCGCCATTCGTTGTTTACATGCACACGTTTTGTTTCAATCTAACTGAATTCATTCCGAATTGTAGTATTTACTGAATGTAGTGTTTACATGAACGCTAAACAAGTGATCGGTTGATGTGCGTTTTAACATTGCTAAGAAAATTCCCGCTCCTCGGTGAGAGATACGAGCCCGGTGCGTCTCACGGGTGTCGCTCATCAGTAATCACGCCACCGGCCTTGCGCCGTTCTCCCGCGGCCCTCACTCGTCCTGCTCGCCAAATAAACATAATGAATGGCGGCTGTAGAACGCAAAAGCCGAATCCCGGACATTTTGGGCGATCTCAAAACACATTTTGGCGCAGACTCTTCACTAGTAGACTTGTTGTTTAACTACTGCGCTCTGTTACCGGTAGGCGTGGCATCCTAGGGCAGCAAATCAAGTGCATTCTGGGAGTTGTTGTCTTTCATCCACAGAAGCCAAAAATACATTTTCTGGCTTTTCTAAGTCTAGAAAGCTCCAAATTCAACTAATTCCACATTTCTTCTACATAAATGACCCATTTTAAATACACATTCATCTTTTCAGAGGTGGAGTGACACTTTAGTGCATGGTGAACTAACATGAACATTTTCAAAGGTTTTTGTTCATTTTAGTTTAGTTTTACCTTATTGTAAAGTGTTACTGAAAATGCATTACAGAAATGATCAGTTAAATATGATTAATCAATATAATGCATTATACAATATACTTTAAATCATTAAACATAAGCTTATCGCTGGTGTATAGTCCTCAGTGATTTATTTTGCATTTGCATTTTCTGTTTTATGTTTTTTTTTTAATTATTGGTGTGTATTTTATTTTCAGTTTCTCACATGAGCACTTATTTTTTTTAAAGATGCTCTGACAAGTTAAACATCCAAACTTAATTTTTTTCCCATCAAACTGCACTCAACCCAAATCCATATGTATTTTGCATGCCACTTTATATTAGGTGTCTTTCTAACATTTAATTAAATGATTTGATACAATGCATCTGAAAATAGCTAATTAATTTCTGTAATTACATCTATAATTACACCATTGATCCTTCTGTACACCCTTAAACCTACCCATACCACCAAACCTGTCACTAACCTTACCCATATCCACCTCAAAATAGAAGCACACGTGACTTTGGCTGCACTTTATTTTACAGTACACACACATACAGTGAACTTACCTTAGAAAGTGCTGGGTAATATAAGGTAACTACATGGGTTACGGTTAGGTTTAGGGTTCAGGGTTAGAACCTAGTTATTACCCAGTTGTTGCAGTTAATAAAGACATGGTATAGGGCTGTAAAATAAAGTACTTATTTTTTTGATTTAAGTACATGATATAGAGTGGGATTGTTTTGGGATTGGTTTCGTGTGTTATGTTTTTCGAAACAATTAATTGTCGCACACACCATTTTTCATAGCATTTAAGTTGCTTGTCCACGATTTGAGTGTTTGAGAAAACCTTAGTTCTTAAGCTGTAGTTAAGCTGAACAGGATGTGTTCTTACCGTCTGCCCGGCTTATCCAGACTCCACAGCGTGCCTGTTCAGCTGACCTCTGTGTAAAAATGGCATTGATCAATATTCCAGCCCTTTCTCTTTAGAAGAGTGTTTTAGTTTCTCTCTTTATGTAACATGGATGAATCCTGCGCAGTGTTTTGGAAAAATTGTGAGCTCGTCCAGGATACGCACTGCATTCCTCAGTTACGGGATCCTCTAGAAATCCAGGGATGCCGAGGGTGTAAAAAAATATCTGAATATCCTCATGCTGCTTTAAGCTATTAAACCAAAATGGGAAAAAAAAGGAAGAAAATGTCTTCACAATCTGTGCTGTAAGCAGCCTTAAACAAGGGTGTTTGGGTCGATATGTAAGCCAATGTCCTGTAAAAATCCCTTTTTTTTTAGTTATGAGTCGTTATATTCGACTTTCTCATTTGCATAAATTGAGAGGGGGGAAAAAAGAAGTAAATATAGAAGGATGTCCTCCCAATCTGTACAGTGATGAGTAACCAGCCTCAAATAATGAGCTCTGCGAATAGAAACCCATTAGCTGCTCTCCCAGCCAACATTACTTCCACACAAAAACCAGTAATTCAAGGATATGCCAACCATCTGTCACTCAAAACACCTGCAAACTATTACTCATAAAAAATACACACATATATGAAGATTTTGAAAGCGCTCGTTCACCTGTTTACAAAAGCAGCTGTTCATGGGCGGTTCTTTGAATGTTTACTGTGCAGGTTCTTGTCTTACATCCTTCATATACACAACTCCGAGAGAAGTAATCACTTCGAAAAACAGCTTCAAACAGATGTTTATCCAACAGATTCCTCTGTAATGATTCATAAATGCGTGGAAAAGCTGTGTTGCTGCGAGCAAGTTCCTACAGAAGCCAAAATCCCATCACGCTCTCTCTGAGAGAGGCGCATACATGTTGCCATGAATCCAGATCTGTCCTTCTGCGTGAACACGTCCAAATGTGTATTCCATCACTTTTGCTGCTGTCACCCGAAGCTGAGTTTTCAAATGCTTGACATGGGCCCCACGCCTCATTACAGATGGAGATTAGGATCCCAGAGTCAGGTACCTGTCCAACGTGTCCTGTGCTCTCGCCGAGAGGACACGCCACCTTCTCCCTGATCCTTTCCACACCAGAGGATTAGAAGCCTTTGGCAGCTGCTACCTGCTGCGCCACGTAATGAAGCGGCCCTGACAACTCAACTGAATTAAACAGACACAGTGTTTATTTCCACTCCACCGTGAGATGATGACAGTGAGAGCAGCACTGTGGCATTAGAGATGAGATTGGTGAACTGCTGGAGAAAGGGGTGGGTGTCTAGAGGAGGTATTGTGAGGGCGGATGGTGTGAGTAACCTCCCCCTCCTTATATCCACACACGAGCTCCACCCCCTGTCCATTGTGGAAGTTTACCTTTGGTTCTTGGTCTATGCTACAGATGTAAACAGAGTCTTGCCAAAGTTGTGCTATTGAGTTTAATTCTTAATTAGAGTGCCTGCAAGATATTCCTTAAACACTGTGGTTAGAGTTTGTTCTAAACCCTAACCATAAGTATTTAACTTCTGTATAGTCAAACTCTCTGCTTGCGAAATTTATATTGTGACACTATTTCAAACATATATTGGCAAACATTCTCCTATCGACAAAAAAAGTTATCCTATTGGCAATTGCAATTGGTCTTCTTTGGTCTTGCCCTGTCAAACTCAACTCTCTCTTTGAAAGCATTTGCAAATTTTAATGTTTAAAGGGTTAGTTGACCCAAAAATGAAAATTAAGTCATTAATTACTCACCCCCATGCTGTACCAACCCCGTAAGACCTTCGTTCATCTTCGGAACACAAATTAAGATATTTTTGATTAAATTTGAGAGGTGAATCACTGTTACATAGGATAGGCTGTCTAAGGGATTGAAACTTGACGGCCCAGAAAGTCATTGAAGAAAATGTTTAAATATTCCATGTGACAACAGTGGCTCAAGTATAAGTTTATCAAGCGATGAGAATACTTTTTGTGCGAAAAAACGAACAAAAATAACGACTTTATTTTATTTTCTTTATTCCTTTTCTTCCTTCTGGGCCTGAGACGAGAGTTCAAGAGATTTCCACGACGCATGCGCGAGAATTGCGATCTAACTCTTTTTTTTTTTTTTTTTTTTTTTGTCGCTTGATAAACTTATACCTGAGCCACTGTAGTCACATGGAATATTTAAACATTTTCTTCAATGACTTTCTGGGCCGTCAAGTTTTAAACCCTTAGGAGCCTATGTAGCAGTGATCCAGCTCTCAAATTTAATCAAAAATATCTTTATTTGTGTTCCAAAGACGAACAAAGCTCTTACGGGGTTGGTACAGCATGAGGGTGAGTAATTAATGACTTAATTTTCATTTTTGGGTGTACTAACCCTTTAAGGGCCCTATTTTAACGGTCTAAGCGGATGGTCTAAAGCGCGCCATTCACTTATGGCGCTTTTCCACTACACAGGATCAGCTTGTTTGGTTTTCCACTGTGTAAAAGTTGTACCTGTACCTGCTTTCGGGTACTTTTTTTGTATCACTTCTGGCGAGGTTCCGAGCGAGCTGAGGCGATACTAAAATGTTACGTGAAACCAATGCCGACTGCTGATTGGTCAGAGAGAATGGCAACTTATTCACTGCGTCATCTTTGCACGTGCCAGATGGAGTATCCAGAATATTCCCACCATTTTTAAAAAGTTTGGCCAGAGATAGTTACTAAACTTACTACTATTATTATGGCAACTCGGAAGAATACGCCGTGGTCAAAAGAGGAGGTGCAGACTTTCCTTTGGTTGGTTGCCAAAGAGAGGATCCAGCGAGAGCTTGATAGGGCAACGAGGAACAAAAGGCGTCGAAAACAGAGTGAAAAGCGAGTCGAGCTGGTACTGGTAATGGAAAAGTGCCATTAGAATCCACTTTTGCTATTTTAACGACACGAAAAATTGTCGGCGCACCCGATGCATGGTCTGAAAGGGTTGTCCCTATTCTTTTAATGAGTACTGGGTGTGTTTTGTGTGTAACGTGCAATAAAATCAGAGTCATCTCCCATTCCCTATAAAAGCCAGTTGCACTCGCACCATGGCGGATTCGCTATTTGCATGGCGGAATTTGCAAGCTGAAAAACTGAACGCTTCTCTAGCGAGGAAACGGATCTGCTCGTGCATGAGGTTAAAGCGCACAAGTAGACCATATACGGGACAAAGTGTACGTGCCCGCCTATACACTGTAAAAAATTTGGAGTATAGGATTTACTTGAAAAAACCTTGCTAAACGATCTCACTCAGAAAAATGCTAGTAAATTTACAAAGATTTGCCAAGTAAAAACCTAGACATATTTATCAGTAGCTTTAATTAGAAATCTTTAAGTTAAATTTACTTGGAATGTGGAATTAAGTAAACTTTACAAAAAATAAGTAATTTTAACTCGGCTTGTAAAAGGTTGATTAATACCGATTTCCTTTGCATTTGTATTACACTTCACTAAAACAATTATCTTGAATTTTATTGGTCATTTATAGTATGTTCTTTACTTAGATCATCTAAGTAATTTATATATACATCATGTCAGACTTTAAGCCTTATGTGAATGCAAACACCTCAATACTTGGTAGACAATACACAATGGTGGTAACATTTGATGGATCGTTTTTGTGTTTGAATGTGTCGTTTTAAGCAAAAAATTTACTCGAAATGTCACAAAAAGGCAATTTACTAATACTGAAAACAAAAATCAATGATAAAACAGTGTAAATACAGCTGGAAACCAGTGAAAAATGAACCTCATTAATTATTCAAGGCCAAGTGCATGATGGGAACCCCAGTATCAGAAAAGTTGAGTAATTTTTACTTAATTTTATTGAGTTGATATTACACTTTCATTTATACTCCCTTGAAATAAGTACTGATATGGAATTTACTTAGTTTTTTAAATTCTTGCCTGAACTAACTTTTTCAAGTAAATTACATTGGGTTTTTTCACTAGTATTTACTTAACCAAAAAATCATTTTTTTACAGTGTAGGCGCACATTACTAATGCACTTTTTAAATAACAAAAAAAAAAAAAAAATAGTAGACTGGAGCACTGATGGTATCTCTTGTATTCTCTGGTGCTCTTGGAAGGGTTAAATGTTCATTAAAAAAAGGAGATTTCTTGGCCACTAGAGGCAATAGCTCAAGTCATGTCTAATGCCAGAGTTTAAACAATACAAATACAAGACCAAATGAGAGATCTCATTTGAAAAATTGGAATGACACCACTACAAACATCCAGTGTACTCCACACAATATGATTTAAATAATATTATTTAAACAAATATATATATTCTATATATATTCTATATATATATATATACAAATGGCATATACGTATGTCAATGGTACAGCATATTTGTTGTCTCAAAATAGCAACACGCCAAAAATGCTCTTGAACACACCTCGATTTCAGACCAGCACGCAAATGAGTGCACAAATTGGCACAAATAAAATTTAAGCATGGCGCAGGATGTGAAAATGATAACTGCGTCAGGCTGAAACTAGCAAAAAAACACTTTGTGTCTGGCGCTGCATTGCGGTGAGTGTATGATAGGACCCAATAACTGTTATATCAAGCTTGAAAACTGTGTATAAGTTTACACTTTATTTAAACTTTTTATTATTATATTGAGAATTTAAAAATGATCTACTGTTTGCATTTTATTTCAACACCGTTCGCTTCCAATGTGACACAGCTTCAATAAATTAAACTACAAATTTACTATTGTTTTATTATTAGGTGTTATATTGGAATTAGATGTTTACGGTACTGTGATGGACACTTGTTGGATTACGAGCATGAAACCAAAAAATGAACAAGGTTTTTTAAGAGCAATGATTCACACAATGTGTGTATTTTTGCTATAAATTTAAATGTAATCTCTATGAATGGCTCATTTCATTTATTATATTACATGCTTAAACCTAGGTTTAAAACATGATGTCTTTCAGGAGTATTTAAAGATCTTTTCAATTCATTTCATTTATGGTCACACTTATTCGTTAGCAAATATTTTTATCTGCTACTAAGAATAACTAAGTGCAGTTAAAGGTAAAACTATTTGTGCTACAAACTAGAGTGTTTATACTTGGGATACTAAATTAAAATAATACTATAACAAATACCAATGTGCAACATCAAGCAGCATAACGCCTGCTGTTTTCGTACAGGTAAAATAACTGGAAGTGGAAGCCTTGCACATTCAAGTGAAAATCGTCCTCAACTACTTTTATGTTAAAAATAAGGTAAATACGACAGGGTCCAAAATAAAATTTCAACTTTAATACAGAAGATTTTAAATAGGCTAAACACAGACTGATTTTTTTAAAATGTTGTTTATGTCTATGTGGTGTTGTTAATATGCTTTTAAGACAAACCATGTGCAAATTCATAAGTCAACACCATTGCCGATTATTTTCTCTTTAAAACTGCGATGATCTAAAGACAGTCTCAAAAACACACTGGTGTTTTTGACATTACAAACTACCCTAACCAATCACGTCAATGTGCTGGCAGGCTTTGGTATATCATTAATTTTGAACTAGCAGAGTCTCGGGAGAACTCAGGTTATCCCGGTATATTTTTCTGTTGATATGAAAAATTGGGTAAATTTAGCAATATGGCGAGTGTATGATGTATACGCTGTTATTAATGAACTATATGCCTTTCTCCACAGACATTCTGAGTTGTTCAAAGTCTTTCTGATGATTGCTAGAAGTCAGCTTCCTGACTCTGAGATGAACGGAAACGGGTTTGTGTAACATTAGCAACACATTATTAGGTGTTTGACAACATAGTCAAGCAAAAAGCTAATCATATTACCTCAGTCAGTTGGCCTAGTGAATCTTTCATGTCGAGTACACATTGATGGCCGATTTTCACTTGCTGACAGGTTTAGTAATATCGCTGACAAATGGCTGAAATCACAGGCAAATCGGTGACGCGATCTGAGAGAATCGCGATGAGTCGTCGACGCCCGTGAGATATTTGGCGTGCTAAAGTTCTGGACCTGTCTGCGATTCAAAATCCTGCTGTGTAAATCTGACAGAAAATCATGTTCAGGGGGAGCATATTCAAATAATCAATCCAATCAACATGTCGTTAACAATCATGATGTCTATCCTATCAGCATGAGAGGAAGCATATATTCACTCATTCGACTCACCTACATTCCTCGACAGTTTTTCCGCATCCCTCCGCCACACCGACTCCTCACTCTTGGCTTGTTCCTTC